ATGGTTACAACGAATTGAGGAAAGATCGCACCAGAAGTGGAGGTGGGGGATTAGCGTTCCTGTTACACCATTCTGTTCAATACAGACCTATCTCGCTTGAGCTAGTCTCTAGTGACCCATACATGGAGTGTATGGGGGTAGCTCTCAAGTGTGGTACTGCCGAGGTAGAGGTGCTTAATGTGTATATCCCGCCGGTTAATAGCTGTGTACCGCGTTACTTGCCTAATATAAGCCCACTTCTGGAAGGCAATAACCGCGTGGTACTAGGGGACTTCAATGTCCACCATGAGTTGTGGCATTCCGTCCTAGGTAATGACCAGAGGGGATCAGCGTTGGCAGAGCAGATTGACTGCTCCACATTTTGCACGGTAAACGAGGATGCCCCCACCCGAATAAGAGGAGAGTATCACAGTTCGCCAGATTTAACCATTGTGTCACCAGGTCTGATAAATGACGTGACTTGGCAACCCGTCATTTCTCTTGGCTCAGACCATCTCCCGATAATCGTCTCCATCAGCAGATCGCCCGATTTCATAACCTCTGAACGCCGCACTTTCCTTAACCATGGGAAAGCCCACTGGCCCGAGTTCAGAGAGTTCACCAACCTTCGCTTCAGAGAGCTGCCCAATCCTTCTGATGTTCGGGTAGCTGAAAGGATTTTCCGTGACATCATCAAAGCTGCAGCCGCTCGCTATATACCTGCTGGTCGAATACCCGAAGTAAGACCAAATTTTCCAGCAGAGGCAGCGGGATTAGCGAATGAGAGTGATGAGCTCCGACGTACCAACCCTACTGATCCCAGAGTCAGTGAACTGACAGTGGAAGTCAACCGGTTGGTACAGGATAGCATAGGCGGAAAAAGTGGCTAGACCATCTGAAGTGTTGCAACATTGGAACCGATTTGAGTAAACTGTGGGTAACGGTAAAGTCACTCTCGAACCCTGGTAGGACAGCAGTCACATTTAACGACGTAACTGTGACTGATCCGAAGAGGTGCGCTGGCTGTTTTAACCGAAAATTTGTCGAGCACCCCGAAAGTGATAGGGCGAGGCGAAGAGTACTACGTCGTATAAGAGCTCTTCCCGCCGAGGATGTACCTCCACAGTTTACAGTGGGTGATGTTGCGAATGTCATCCGAAACGCTAAGTCATCTAAAGCGTTGGGCCCGGACGGAATATCAATGGTAATGTTGAAGCAACTGGATACGTCGGGAGTTGAGTATTTAACCAAAGTCCTTAACTTGTCGTTAGCCACCCACATAGTTCCCGAAGCCTGGAAAATGGGCAGGGTGGTCCCACTACTGAAGCCTGGCAAGGATGCCAGCAAAAGCGAATCATACAGGCCAATTTCGCTTTTGTCGCCAGTAGCAAAGACTGGTGTAGTGGTGGCTCTCGACCTATCAAAGGCCTTTGATACGGTCAACCATGCCACGCTGTTCGAGGACGTTGAGAACACTATCCTCCGGCCAAGTTTGAAACGTTGGATAGTCAGCTATATGTGTGGACGCCAGTCGTACGTGGAATCCCGGAATAAGAAGTCCAAGCCTCGTAGAGTGAAACAGGGAGTTCCCCAAGGTGGGGTGATATCTCCGAAACTGTTTAACTTCTACCTTTCCAGAATTCCGCGCCCTCCAGACGGCATCGAGATCGTAACTTATGCGGATGATTGTACGATCATGGCGTCGGGTCCTGTAGTTGATGACATATGTGTCAGGTTGAATACCTATCTCGCGAAGCTTGCCGCCTTCTTCCACGCGAGGAATATGAAAATATCCGCCACTAAATCGACGACCACACTATTTACCACATGGACTGCGGAGATGAGAACACAGCTGAATGTGCAGGTCGAGGTGCATATAATTCCGACCACCAACTACCCCAAAATCCTTGGGGTCACATTCGATAGCATGTTCAAGTCTTCCGCGCAAGCCACAGCTATTTGCGATAAAATGAAAAGTAGGAACAAAGTCCTCAAGGCGCTAGCCGGCAGCACTTGGGGTGCGGATAAGGAAACCTTGTTGACCTTTTATAAAGCGATAGGTCGGTCTGTGGTTAGCTATGCGGCTCCAGTGTGGTCGATGAATACAAGTGCAACGCAGTGGAAAAGTATTCAGACCTGCCAGAATGCCGCCCTGAGAACTGCAACAGGGTGCCTCCTCATGACTCCTGTGGACCATTTACATGAGGAGACGAAGGTTCTTCCCTTACGTCAGCATAATCATATGCTTTCCTGCTTGGGTGTTATAGTGGGAGTCACCCTAACTTTTAACTCCTGAGGTGGTGGTAAATTTTACCCTCCCTTCACATTTTCTTGAAATTTTCTATTCTATTACAATGAATAAAAATTTTGTTTACATTAAAAAAAATGTTTTTTTTTACTTATTGTAATTTAGAATATACAAGCTTACTTTTAAAAAACAAATTATTATCAAATAAAATTTTTAACAAAGTTTTTTTCTCCCCCACCAGGAAGGACCTGCACGATCAAGAGAGAGAGAGAGGTCCAGCGATGTAAGAGAGAGCCCCTAGATCATGAAGTCTATCAAGCGGGTCTGAATAGCATTCATACTGATGCAGTCGCAGAGATAGTTAATAATTACAGTATGAATGCCATACTGGAAGTCCACCCCCCATCCATTGCAGCTGAAGAACGTCGGCTGCCTAGGCAAACCAGGGTGGTTTTGCCCAACTACGTTCAGGATGGTGCAGCCGTCTCAATTTGTATTGGGCACGAATTGATGGGGATGTGCGATGTGCCCAGCGTGCGATACAGGCCCGCACAACACGCTGCACTTGTTTAATTGTCCAGCCAAACCTACCCAACTCCGTCCAGAGGATCTATGGCTACAGCCCATAAAGGTAGCAGAATTCCTAAACCTGGACATTGAGGAAGAACCGGATTAGTCGGAAAAAACAACGGAACATGTAAAACTGCTATAACAACAACATCCAATACTGTTCTGGTTGCCCTTTACAACAACTGCACAGGTAGGGCATGTATATGTTCTTGTCGCAGCTGGCATGATCAAAGATACAGATACTTCAACAGTCAAAGACAACAAATACGGAGAGCATAAATTGCACCGCAAACGCAGAAACAAAGCACACACAGCAACGTCTCCAAATCAAAATGTAATTGTTTGTAAACAAAAGCCCACAAACTCTCTCTCAAAATTGGCAGAAGTCGGGAACACTTAGAGAAAAATTTTAATCAGCTGGAATTTCTACCTTACTTTTCATTGTACTGTGGGTGTGTCCCGGTGCTTTTTAATGTTGCCCGGGGAAGTCAAAAGTGTATTGTTAATTATGCTTATGTCCAACAATTTGGGTTTTTCGGGAGGTACCGTTGTAACGATACCGATACTATATGTATGTATATATATATATATATATATATATATATATATATATATATATATATATATATATATATATATATATATATATATATATATATATATATATATATATATATATATATATATGTATATATATTTATATATATATATATATATATATATATATATATATATACAAAATTGATTACAATTTATAGCTGACACTCTCACCTTTCCAAAATGCTACAATTTATGCTAATACCAGAGTCCAGAGATATTGGTATTTCTATCCGCATAACCCATTTCTAACTAGTTCATTAAAATTATGTTTTCAATAAAAAAAAGCTTTATTTCGAGTAGCCGTCGTTGGATTACAAAAGTGCCACTTTAAGAAAATTTTGGTTCGCATTAGCCGGTGTTGGACATACTCAGAGAAAATCTCAAGCCCCGACCGAAAGCGGCTATTTACCAAAAGTATCAAATTTAGAAAACTTTAGTTCGCGTTAGACGGTGTAGGACATACTCAGAGGAGAAAATCCAAAGCCCCGGCCGGTGGCCGGCTAGTTACAAATGGTATCAAATTTAGAAAACTTTGGTTCGCGTTAGCCGGTGTGGAACATACCCAGAAGAGAAAATCTCAAGCTCCGACCGAAGGCCGGCTATTTACAAAAACTGTCCAATTTGGAAAACTTTGGTTCGCGTTAGCCGGTGAGGGACATACTCAGAAGAGAAAATCTCAAGCCCCGACCGAAAGCGGCTATTTACCAAAAGTATCAAATTTAGAAAACTTTAGTTCGCGTTAGACGGTGTAGGACATACTCAGAGGAGAAAATCCAAAGCCCCGGCCGGTGGCCGGCTAGTTACAAATGGTATCAAATTTAGAAAACTTTGGTTCGCGTTAGCCGGTGTGGAACATACCCAGAAGAGAAAATCTCAAGCCCCGACCGAAGGCCGGCTATTTACAAAAAGTGTCAAATTTAGAAAACTTTTGTAATTCCAATGACGTCTACGCGAAATAAACCTTTTTTTACTGAAAACATAATTTTAATGAACTGGTTAGAATCGGGTTATGCGGATTGAAATACCCATATCTCTGGACCCTAAAAAGGTATTCGCACAAATTGTAGCATTTTGGAAAGGGAAGGGTGTCAGCTATAATTTAGCACCAAATTTGTTTACCCTCATAATGGGCCCAACTTTTTGGGGGTTTTATAAAAAATCCGAGTCCAAAAAACGATAATATAACTATAACTTCCGAACCTCGGCCACTTAATGTGACCACTTGTTGGATAGGTATTATCATAAGGATACTTATATTGTCTATATCGGGTAATTGGATCCAGGTCCAGGCCGGGTCTTGAACCCGGAAGTTCGGGTCAAATATCTGAGGTCCCCGGTCCGTCCCCCAAGATAAAAATAGTTTTCCGGAATCAGGGTAAAAATACCTACCTCTGGGAAAAATTTCGAAAAAATCGAAGAGTTTTTACTAAAGTAGAGTTGTTCCATGATACCCTATGTAATAATTTAAAGATATGTTTTTTACTTTTATTGTGGAGAACACTTTTGTAGTTCTCCGCTGTTGTGACACTTATTGGGCAAATGGCTTTTTCATTGCAATATACAAAAAACAAATGATATAAATTAAATTAATAATTGTACTTACTTTAAAACGATATTGTTTTTCAATTCCTTTTGCTTTTCTCCGTATGTATTCAATACCACCTTCTTGATACGTAAGTTTATGGGCATGTTGTTTCCCATTTATAACTCTTGCGCCGTCTGTCCGCCTCAGGGGTAATTTTTCTAAAGCACAATCTAACATCAAAAAACACATTATTGTATATAAGAAAAACTTAAGTCATATTAATTTTACCCAATATTAATGAAAGTTTGCCGCACAAACAGTAATATATATTTAATGGCGAATCGTCATTATATTCTTCTTGATCTTTTGAATCAGAACAAACTATACTTCGTGACACAACTTTTGGCATTTTAGATGTTTAAATTTATGATTGAGTATAAACAAAAAGTAAAGTAAGTATTTTTGAACAGCTGGTCAACGTCTCCAAGTTAGGCAAAACATTTGCGTCGGCGAAGCAAATGAAAAAATGAAGCAATATATCCAAACTACGTGAAGTTAGCAACTTTGCAAACTATAGATAACATCGAATTTTCCCAAATCTACAGGGTGACTCAGAAATTCGTAATTTCACATTTAAAACTTTTTTCAAGTGTGCGACAGAAAAAATGTCAACGTATAAAATCTATTTATTTTTGACAAAACATTTTAAAAATTTGGACATATCAATGTTCCCAATCGTTGATGCATCCACTGGTATTCTACACAACCAAAAATAAATGCAAAAAACCAAAAAAGTTTTATCAAAAAATAACCGTTGAAAGTAGTATTTATTCATATTGGTGTCCTTCAACAAGGAAAATAATACATCTACCACCAACTACCCCAAGGTACTAGGGGTCACATTCGACAGCCTCTTTAAGTCGTCCGCGCATACCACAGCTATCTGCGACAAGATTAGAAGTAGGAACAAGGTCCTCAAGTCTCTGGCCGGCAGTACTTGGGGAGCTGATAAGGAAACCTTGTTGACCTCTTACAACGCGATAGGACGGTCTGTGGTAAACTATGCGGCTCCGGTGTGGTCCGCTAACGTCAGTGCTACGCAGTGGAAAAATGTTCAGTCCTGCCAGAATGCCGCCCTTAGAACCGCAACAGGGTGCCTTCTCATGACACCTGTTGTTCAGGCAAACGGCTGAATTGCCTGGTAAAGCTTTGGAAGCATCTACCGTGAGTGTGATGGTGGACAACTTGCTCTTAGAGCCCAAACAAAATCCAAGATCACTTTTTTTTACCTTGAATGTTGTAGCTGGCAGAAACGTTGAAAACGGTTGGAACCCAAATCCAGAGTAATGAAAAAAAGCTTTTATATTTCGCTATATTAGAATTCTTTTTATTAGGATGGTACTGGATTTGGACTGTCAGGTTCCAGAGTCGAATTAGAATAGAATTCAATAAGACGCGGAAATTAGACTCCCAATATGGCCATTAGAGAAGGCCGATAAAAAGAAAATATGAAAATGGGAAAAGGAAAAACATAGAATAATTATCTTAACTTCGATAACAGTTCGAATGGATAGTACAATAACAATGGTGCTATTCATATTTAAGATACAGTTTAAGGAAATGAAAATGGTTTACGTTTTGACGTAAACATTCCGCCCCCCATGGCAAGGGGACATGACAATTATATAATCAATTCATTTAGGACTAAATTCATATGACTAAATGACTTAATGCATAACTTATTATATCATAATACAATATGTCTTTTCAAGCGATTTCAATTGGCATATTAGTATTTAAAAAAAAGGTATCGTAAATTCAGAATAAAAGTGGTGGAAGAGAGTACAATTATTTGTATTAATTTGAAAATGTTCCATATAGCACTAATCCGAAAAGGGTATTTTGAGCTGTAGGAAGTCCATGGCGAATAAAGATGCCGTCGACAATAATTTTGGAATATATGTCAACACCAATGACGATATCAACAGAAGCTGCCTTATAGAATTTGCTATCTGCTAGGACGAAGTTTTTGAAACTGAGTTTTGAAGACTCGGGCAGCGATTGTTTAGGAGTTGTAATTCCAATCCTGTTCCTCATTCGCAATATAGCCTCTATCTTTGTCTTGGAATCGACGCAGGATGTCAAGGTGACGGGGCACATAACTTCATCTTCCAACTCGAGCGTAGACAACCCCAACTTATCTACGAAGCGTTTGGAAATGCAGCTCATGGGGGCCGCGGAATCCAATAAACACCTTGCCAACTGTGTGCTATTTGCTCCGTTGATTTTGACGACTGCAGTAGGAAGAAGAGGGGTGGCATTCTGCCTAAGAAGTGCCGACAAAGAGGTAATACTGGATGTCGATGTTGACCTCGGTATTGAGCCGGTAGTGGCTGAAGAGTCCTTGGGGGTGGTGATATCAAGAGGGGTAACCATCTTATTGGTATTTTTCGTCGAGGATGATTTGGCCTTTTGTAACCTTGGGTGTTGATGTAACAAGGAGTGGTGCTTTTTGTGGCAATATCCACATCTTGTGATGGTAAAACAGGTGCCCTGTGAATGGGTATGCGCCAGGCAGTTCATACAGTACCCATATTTCTTGACCGCATTTAACCTTTCTGCGGAGTTCATGGCACGAAATTTCCAGCACGATTTCAGAGGATGTTTTTTGCGGCACAACCTGCAGGCAAATTCCGAATAACGAGAAGACGAAGGACCCTTCATTGTAATATTGTAAATAAATAACTGAAAAAAAGGAATGAATTAAAAAAAAAAGAAGAATGGAATTGAATTGAACTAAAATAGAAAATGGAAAAATTATTTGTCTCAGGCTTTGTATGAGGATAAAGTCTAATGCTAGGAACACAATTGGAGCGAACGACGAATTTTTTCGCGGCGTATGTTCGTCGTCAAAAATAAAACACATATGTGTATATGGAAGTGCACACAATCACGGCACCGGCGAAAATTTCGTCGGTCGCCGCGAACTCAATTAGCTTTATTTCTATTTCATACGCCGGCGACCGGCGAACAAAACAGTACAAGGTGGCCATACTTGTACGAATTTTATGTGTTTTAGTAAATAAAGTTACTTTTTACTTTAAAATTTGTTATGGTCACTCTACTATCTGTTACTCGTATAAAAAAAAACATAATTAATTTGTTTATTTATTTGTGTACTTGCGCCTGAGTGAAGATGGATATCAGTGAATTTATAATAGAGAAGATGGACATAAGTGAAATTATAATAGAGAACGTAAAGAATTATGTGTTCTTGTATAATTCATTGTAGTCAACAAATGAGCAAAAAGTAAACAACTTCATCAGCTGTTTTATAATTTCGTCGGTATTGTGTTCCATACGACGAATTTTTGCGGCTCATTTTGTCGCCGCGTAGGGCGAAATTCGTCGTTCGCTCCAATTGTGTTCCTAGCATAAGACTGGTTATCTGGTAAGATGACCAGCTTTGTAATTGGCCGGGTGATTCTTCCCTTCTGAGTGAGAATGTCAGCAACGCGCACTTTCTGATCATTGCCATGATAGACACGAATCACTCTGCCCAAACGCCAACAGGTCGGAGGGAGATTTTCTTCCTGAATAACCACCAGCATATTTTCTTCGACATCGCGTTCTGGACTTTTCCATTTAGTCCTTTTATGAAGTTCCTTCAGATATTCAGTCTTCCATCTGCTACAAAAATGTTGATACATTGATCGGAGTCGTTGCCAGCGATTTTGAATAGAAATGGATGACTGGGAAATTTCTGGTTCTAAGGGAGATAGTATAGGAGAACCGATTAAAAAGTATCCAGGAGTCAATGCGGTGAAATCTGATGGGCTTTGAGAAGATGGGGATATTGGTCTAGAGTTTAGACACGCCTCAATTTTAGTCAGTAAGGTTTGAAATTCTTCGTATGTGTATTTTGTATTGCCAGCAACTTTGCGGAAATGTTGTTTGAAACTTTTTACGCCGGCTTCCCAGAGTCCACCCATATGACGAGCTCCGGGAGGTATGAAATGCCATGTCAAATTTTGGTGGGCGTAATTAGACATTAGAGCTTGATTCGAGGTATCGATAAAATTTTTTGCGATCCTCTTGGAAGCTCCGACAAACGTAGTTCCGTTGTCAGAGTGCAAATGGAGTGGACAACCACGACGGGAAACAAAACGGTTAAAAGCTGCCAGAAAATTGGATGTGGATAAGTCGGATGTTGCTTCAAGGTGAATTGCCTTTGTGGAAAAACAGACAAACACACACACATATCCTTTGGTAATCCGACAATATCTTCCAGTATAGCTCTTGATATCAAAAGGTCCTGCAAAATCCAAACCGGTATGTGTGAATGGTCGGGATATTTCACATCTTTCTGGAGGCAATGCAGCCATCAACTGCTTTTGGCATCTTTTCTTATATATGACACAGATCTTGCAATTTCGTATAATGGATTTTATAAGATTTTGAACCTTTGGTATCCAGTATTGTGTACGGACCAATCGGAGGACAAGTTGATTGCCCCCGTGTAGACTTATCAAATGGATATATTGGACTAATAGTTTGGAATATTGACAGTTGTATGGAACAATTATAGGATGTCTCTCGTTGTAGGATAACTCTGGACATACTTCAAGTCGACCGCAAATTCGCATTAGACCTTCAGAATCTAAGAAGGGATTCAAACTCAATAGTTTACTAGAAAAAGGAATCGGTCTTTGGATACTCAGCGCCATGTACTCATTTGGGTAAAATAGCCTTTGGTATATGGATATCAGCTTTGAGCGAACATGGATGATTTCTTGAGCTTCTATGACGTTACCATAACGTCTATTATTGGTCTTATATCGTGGATGAGTACCATTTATAAAACGATATACATACGCCATAATCCTTAGAGCTCTTGGGTAGGAAGAAAAATTCGTTAGGTAATCGTGGAAGTTTTCGAAATATGCAAAATGTGTCTTTACCGACTTCTTCTCTAATTCAGTTGGTTGGACATCTTGATTAGAGTAATTTTCCCAAGGAGTGTCAAATTCAGATAACCATGCAGGACCTCTCCACCAAAGATCATTTTGGATTAGATCCTGTGGATAGACACCTCTACTCGCGAGATCGGCGGGGTTGTCCTCTGAACTGACGTGGTGCCATTTTGGTGGATCGACAGTTTGGATGATTTTAGAAATTCGATTTGCCACAAAAGTATTCCAATGACATGGTTGTTTTGCTAACCATGAAATCACAATGGTGGAGTCCGTCCAGCAATGTAATGAGTGACGGTGAACGTCGAATTGAGGCACTAAATTGTCAATTAACTCAGCAAGGAGAGTAGCTGCACATAATTCCAGTCTAGGAATAGATAGGGACTTAATCGGTGCTACTTTCGTTTTGGAAGCCACTAAGTGGGTGTACACAGTAGTTGGAGAAACAATTCGAATGTATAGTACTGCGGCATAAGCCCTTTCTGATGCATCCGAAAACCCGTGAAATTCAATTTCATGGTCTGGGACAAAGTTAAACCAACGTGGAACACGAATCTCATTGATGGAAGAAAATGAAGACTGAAATGCTTTCCATAAGTCAATTGATTCTGGTGATATCTCTTCATCCCAACCCACTTTATCTAGCCATATTTTTTGCATAATTATCTTGGCTAATACAATGACCGGCGAAATCCAGCCAGCAGGATCAAATAGTCTTGATATTTGGGAAAGAACCTCTCGTTTGGTATAAGTATGGGGAGAAAATGCAATGGAGGAGAAATAAAACTGATCAGAATACGCATTCCAACGAATGCCTAACATTTTAGCTGCACAATGTGCGTTAAAGTCTAAAAAGCCATCATTAAGAAGATCATCGGGTGACAAGTCCGAGAGAATTGTTGTTGAATTGGAGGTCCATTTTCGCATGTTGAATCCTGCGGACTTCAGTGATAGGATTAATTCACGTACGGTTGAAATTGCTGTGTGTATGTCATGTGCCCCTGCAAGTGCATCATCCACATACATGCAATTCTTCAAAACATGACTAGCTAATGGATATGAATCATGGACGTCATTGGCTAGTTGAATCATCGTACGTATCGCAAGATACGGTGCACAGTTAACACCAAAGGTTACAGTTTTCAACTCGTAATCCTTTATTGGTTCAGTTGGATTCTGGCGGAACAGGATTCTCTGAAAGTGGGTGTGAGAAGGAGACACAAGGATTTGGCGATACATTTTCTCTATATCACCACTGAAAACATAGCGATAAAAACGCCACTTAAGGATGAGAATAGTCAAGTCGTTCTGTAAGGCTGGACCAGTATACAAAACGTCATTTAGACTTGTACCATTCGATGTTGCGTAAGAAGCATTGAAAACCACACGGACTTTAGTGGTAGAACTATCTGGCTTCACAACAGCATGATGCGGCAAATAGTAGTGATCGGGAAATTCTGAGATTGTAGGAGGTAGAACAGGAATCATATGTCCTAATTTGACGTACTCTTTATAGATCATATTCTCTTTTCAATTCTGGATTTTTTAGCAGACGACTTTCATTCCGAATATATTGGGCCATCGCACCTTTTCTCGACTGACCTAAGGTTAGTGAATCGGAATATTCGTCTTTAAACGGAAGCGAAACAGTATACCTTCCATTCCCATCTCTAGTTGTCGTTCTCTGATAAATTTCTTCACATTGTCTATCTGCTTTGGACATTACACGCTGTTGTGGAATATTCTCCACCTCCCAAAATTTCAGAAGACTTTTTTCTAAAGAAATTTCGCAGAAGTACGATACACATGTAGAGAAGGACTTTGGAGCTTTGGTTGGAATGGGGCCAGTGAGGATCCATCCGAATACGGTCTCCTGGGCGAATAAGGATCCGCAAATCGCTCGCTGGCACCCAGATAACATGACAGAAGGAAGTAAATCTGCGCCAATTAGGATATCAATCTTGGAGCTTCGGTAAAAATACGGGTCAGCTAAGTCTAACTTTGGTAGCGAATAGAGAATATCAGACCCTATTGTGCAGGTTGGAAGGTTATTAGAAAGATGAGGCACAATTAAGGCTGAAACATCGATCTCGAAAGCTTTATCCGCATAGGAGCCCAGGATAAAGCGACATTCTTTTTGAACAGCAGCTGAAACCGTGTTATTAAGGCCTGATATGATAGCGGATGTAGGTTTGGAAGGTAACCTGAGGGCATTGGCAAGGTTTTGAGATATAAAGGTACCTTCTGAACCTGAATCTATGAGGGCCCTCGCTATATAACCAACACCTGCATGAATAACTTTTACTACAGCGGTACCAAGCAAAACGCCGTTTGAATTAACCGCGAAACAATTTTGAATAACATCGGTTGAAGAGTTAGTGGACTGTATGGAGGAATTTGGAGAAGCTTGGAATGCAAATGTCCTAGGCGTTTGAAGTGGTGTATTGGAAGCTGCAGGAGAAGTACTAACGGGTATATTTTGTTGCTCAGCATCCTTATGGAGGAGAGTATTATGTCGTTTTTGACATTTGAAGCAAGAATTTTTGCTTTTACAATTTTTGACAGCATGGGAGCTGGAAAAACAATTTAGACAGAGATTGCTGGCCTTTATTTCCGCCAATCTCTGTGCGTAATTAAATGCTAGGAACCGAGGACATTTCCTTATTATGTGGAATTCATTGGAACACAATCGACATTTAGTTTTGTTGACGTTGGTTTGGTATGTCTGAAGCCTGTCCTTCTGATTCTTTGTATTTAAAGGTTTGGACTTATCCCCTTTGGACTTGGAATCAGAAGAACTTCTCATTTCAGAGACAGCCTCCAATGTTCTATACCTGTTGGTAAGAAATATATCCAATTCAGACCATTTTGGAATGCTGGTTTTATCCGAGAGTGTTTGTTCCCATAAAGTTAAAGTAGAATCTGGAAGACAGTTGGAACAAATGAACACGAAAATCGGATTCCAGCTTTCAACGTCAACATCATAAAGCTTTAGAGTGGATATACAAGAATTGATATCTCTTTGAAGCTTCTTGATGGATATTGCAGTTTCTGTATGAATATTGACAAGTGAAAATAAATTCTTTAGTTGGCCATTAACCAGCACTCGTTTGTTCTCAAACCTGGAACATAGATTGTTCCACGCTAAGGTGAATCCGGAATTCGTCAAAGGACTTTTCCTAACAATGTCGTGTGCTTCACCTTTGGTCTTCTGATTTAGGTAGAACAATTTTTCTACTGGGCTTAATTTGGAATTGCGTATGCAAATGGCCGTAAACATGTCACGAAAGCTTGGCCAGGATTTGTAGTCTGTCGCTACCTCATTGGTTTCTCTATCATCGGACACCTCTTCATCTTCTTCTTCATTTTCCAAATCCGCCAGACATTGCTCATAAGCTTGTTTAAGATGTGACCATGTGGATTTCACCTCTTCAGTGTGGGTTTCCAGCAAACACCGAGTTGTTAGAGGAAACTCATTGGCAATAAGTGCCGCTTCAAATTCTACCAAGCTGTCAGCTAGGCGAATGAATTTGTCGAGTGACATGACTACAAGCAAGAAGTTTGATGGATCAAAGGCAATAGAATGAGTGGATAAAAATTATGCAAGACAAGTGGTTATATCGGAGTAGGGCAACTAGGACTGGTGAAAGAAACAACAAACTGAGTTCACCGTGTGTTCCAAATTTGAAAATGATGCGCAAGAAAAAATAGCATAAAATGTCCTGGTAGAAAGTACGGGTACCAATTGAATGCTATTTTAGGAAAACCTAACTTGAAACGAACAGGAGATTGTATTATCATTAATTTCAAATTCCACTGGTGGAATATTTTAGTAATTTTATTGTATTTATTTTATTTTAATTAATTAATTATTTCCTTTGATTTTTATTGAACGTATTTAATTATTATTATTATTTTAATTTAATTAAAAGTATTTTTTTTTATTTTAGTTTCAGAAAAATAATATTTTTCTCTAGTAATTTCAATTAATGATTCTCTTGAATTTAAATTTCAATTAAATAATGTACTTGATTCTTACCAATTATAAACTATTTCCTCAAATATCAATTAATTAATTTTTTTTAATATTGATCAATTTGCTTCTTTAATTTGAACTAATGTGTTGAATTACTCTTAATTAACTCTTGTTTCTTTTTTCTTAACTTCAATTAATTAATTCTCATTAATGACATTTAATTGGTTGAATTTTCAAGTAATAGTGAAAATCGCGACAAGTATCTATATTTTTTGTTCAATATTTTTTTTTGATTGTAGAAAAGTTATATTTGGTACCACTGTGCGTTGGTATCCAGATATTATTATTTGTATCTAAATGCTTCTAAATGTGCTTCAGAGACATCACAAGCAAAAACACGACTTTGCTAAAGTAGAAAAACAGCTGATCGTTCAAGAGTTCATTGAACTCAATGTAAGTGGAAAGAATTTGGAAGAATTGGAATAAATGGAATAATTTGGAATGATATGCTCCGCTCTGAGCAATCAATCCTCCGTTGGTATGTGTCGGACTCTCAAACAGCGAGAATGACACGTAAAAAATAAATACAGAAAAGAACACAAATGTAACAACTGATTGAGCGGAGAACTCAAACTCTGCAATAGTAGTTACACGGCAATGATACAACAACACGATTGAGTTGTAATCTCACCCACAATGACTAGCGCATTCTCATTGGACATGCGCACTCAAAGCAGAGAATGTAAACATTGGTTGCAATAGGATGTATGTGGCTGAGGAAGAGAACGATGAGTTGAGCTTTAGTTTCAGCATGCACGAGAGAAGCGCATTCTCAGTGGACATGCGCATTCGAATAATAGAAAAGAAGAGAATGATGCTGGAACTGACTTAAGAGAAGTGTGCAAGCTCTGATCACCACATACATACACAAGAGTAGCATATGCTCATTCGGATCAATGAAGACGAAGAAAGGTAAGCTGAAAATTACTTAAGAGAACATGGCAAGCTTGGATCTCAACATCCATAAATAAGAGCATGTACTCAGTGGACATGCGCGCTGGGAACAATGCAAGACGAGTGAACAACAATATGGAAGAGATCATGCATGGAGGTTGCTCACTCCCATGTGTATTATGAGTGCCTGGATGATCATTGAGAAAGCACTTCTAATGTATTTTCAGGGTAAACCTGAAATGCATCTGGTACAACAGAGAGATGTTCCCATAAATGAATAGTGAACAGTGAGGCTGTCGCAGATAAATTTTATGACTCTGTTATTAACAGAGTTCTACAGAACACGTTTTTTAATTTAACAGCCTCGGATCTGTTACACTAAGGAGCAAATGTACCACTTATGTTCACACATATTTTAAACGAATTTTGCCCCTTTTTTATTATTATTTTTTTCCCAACAAAATGTTTCCTTTTTACCGAAATTTTTAAGAACTTCCCACAGAGATTTTTTTTGTAGTCTCACTCAGGGCTATTTTTCAACACACAGGATATCAATATTTTTTTTGTAAAAAACTTACTCACAATCCTCTTGTTGGATTAAGGCAGTCTCCTCTTAGTAAATCTTAGTAAATCCTCTTAGTCTTCCTATTAGTAAATCCACAATTCCTAGGTTGTCGATCTTCTCAGCTTAGTTATTTGGGGAATTAGCCAGGAATTTCCAGATATATAATTATTTTGAAGTTTATATTTTGGGGTGAAACACGACACGGCACTTTATATCAAATTGAGTGAATCTTTCGACTTCTTGTTGTGTACTGAAAAGACGAAATTATTACAAGAGAAACGTACCTATGGAAATCAAAGGCTTCTGCAGCTGAATTCTCTGGAGAGCAGCTTGTCGATCCGGTTCGACGTGGACCAAAATGTTCAGG